TTCTGTTTAAGTCTCTCCGTGGCATCTGTGACATGTGCTGCACCAACCATTACTGTGTGAAAGAAAAGTGCTACACAAACTGCTTCACCTTCACACACAGGCATGTGATAGGCAGGTGAATTAACCAATCAGACGAAGGCATCTCAAAACAAATAAACTGACAAAATAATATGCAGTAAACAGGAAAATCGTCTGTCTCTATGGAAACCAGAGTCATTTATGGAATATCCCACACTAAAGAAACTGGACAACACATTAGAATAGCACGCTAATTAAGTGATAATTAGTGAACCCAAACCCAAACCTAGACCTAGACCTAACACAAACCCAAACCCTAAACCAAACCCTAGACCTAGCCTCAGACCTAGACCTAACACAAACCCAAACCCTAAACCAAACCCTAGACCTAGCCCTAGCCCTAGACCTAGACCTAACACAAACCCAAACCCTACACCAAACCTTAGCCCTAACCCTAGACCTAGACCAGGGGTCGGCAACCCGCGGCTCCGGAGCCGCATGCGGCTCTTGAGTGCTCCTGGAGTGGCTCCTGGAGCCTTTTCAAAAATGTCTGAAAATGGAGTGTGAGGGCTATATTTTATTTCTAGTTTGAATGTGGTTTCTGTAGGAAGAAAAACAATCTTTACGTTTTTAAATGCTGTAAAAATATGTATAAGTAATATCTAATTTCAACATTTCTGTCAACGTAGTGCGTCATATCCTGTGACGCGCGGTCACGCGGCCCCGCCCCATGCGGCCGCTGCTGTAAACAAACCGGCGTGTGTGCATCATAGACTGTAAGTGCACATGGATCCCAAAGCTAAAACGAGAAAGAGTTGATAACAAGACTGGACTAAGAATGAGAATGAACATTTTCTTTCAGTCAATGAGGAAGGACTGCTTCATGTTTGTAATGAAAAGTTTTGTTGCAACACGAGGAACAATGACGCGCAAAACGACGTAAACGGTGATTACGTGAAGGATTCATTCATCAAAAATTCAGAGCACCTATTTTCAGACTTCAAAACCTTCTCAAAGACGGTGAAAGAAAAGGCCATTAAGGATTTTAATTCAGCTCCAGCAAACTTCAGCCTGTGACGTGATGGATATGAACAGACAGTGATGCAGGTGACCTCTGAGCCCAAAGCAGATTGATTTACTGTATTTCTATAATTGCATGAAGGCAAAAAAATGGAAGTTAAACTAAAGCAGAGTCGTCACGTGTTGCGTCATTCACCACACGCGTGGTGCGACACGCTGCAGTGAAAATACACATTTGATAATCATGAATGATTATTATGTATTTGTAGCCTTTACTTTGTCATTTAGATATTAGGCTAATATAGCTAATACATCTTGCAGCCTGTGTTACCTTCATAAAAGCCTTATACAAGGCTGTTATTTTTTTGCGGCTCCAGACAGATGTTGTTTTTAGTTTTTTTTGTCAATTATGGCTCTTTGAACATTTTGGGTTCCTGACCCCTGACCTAGACCTAACACAAACCCAAACCCTAAACCAAACCTTAGCCCTAACCCTAGACCTAGCCCTAGACCTAGACCTAACACAAACCCAAACCCTAAACCAAACCTTAGCCCTAGACCACATGGGAAAGTGTCAGTTAGATGTTGAATGAGAACATGTAGATCAACGACGGAAAAAGTGCTTCATAAATACCATTTGAGAGATAATGAACCAAACATTATACACAAATTAGCACGTAATTGGCTGTTAATTAGTGAGGGCTAAACTAAAGTGTGACCCCCATAACCAAGTGATACTGAGCCATAAAAAACCAACCACTGTTAAACAAATTGCAATTGATAAATTTGTTTTGTCCAAAACAGTGGAACCTTTCAGAGAGAAACTTCTAAAATGAACCTTTAACTCTAAACAACATAAAGAAAACATACGTATCTTCATGTAGTGATTAATGTAAGCAGCAGAATTTATGATAAAGCAGTGAATTCATCCATTAGCAAATACAACGGACCCTGACAGATTCTGGGGCTAACGGTGAAACAACAAATGTTTAGCAGTGGGAATAACAAATGTTTATGTGAATGTGTCCATAAAGAGCAGCACTAAACTTTACACATTTCCATATTTTTGCCAGTTTCATTATTGCTGTTTGTGCTGCGGCTCCGAACAGCATATTCCCGAGGTGTCATTTTTTGGCCACGTGAAAACATTGCTCAAAACAAACTCAAAATAAACTCTCATGCCTTTGCCACATTCTGTTTTCCTTCCCCTAAACACACACGTCTATAACCTTTTAGCATCAAACGAAGAGAGCAGTCCACATTAGCATAGGCAGCCTGTAGCGTTGCTGTTTATAATTGACTTTGTGTCAAGCTCAACCAAGTAAGCGGTCGCTCCACTCTCCCGGCTTTTATTTCGTGGCAATATCATCGCCTCAGAGCCGCAGACAGATATAAAATCCTTTCTCTGCACAACGACAGACTCTCTCTTCCAGTTTCTTATTTTCCCGTTCATTTATTCGCAAAACTGTCCCACGGTTTCGGCCGGTTCTTTCTTCTCTTCTGTAATTGGCTTTGGTCCAGCGGCGAGCATCACACAGAGCTGTATTTATGTCCACTGCATTCGGGCTAATAAACAAAGCCAGCTTGGAGACGCAGGCTTTGACAGACGTTGCCTTCATTTGCATGTTTGCCGCTGCTCGACCAGATAAACTTTTCTAACTTTGACTGTAAACAAACTGTGCCAAGTGGAACCGCAAGATTAGTACAATACGATCGCTTTAGAAGGAGCAAAGAAAGCAAAAGAGTCTTGGTTTAGTCCAGTTGTTGTTTTGTGCTTTACAAAAAAAAATGTCTTGCTTTTTTCTACCTGAGATGTTGCTGCAGTGTTCATGGTTTTACACTGGTACAGACCAGAGCAGAGAGGATTCATGGTTTTACACTGGTCCAGACCAGAGCAGAGAGGATTCATGGTTTTATACTGGTCCAGACCAGAGCAGAGAGGATTCATGGTTTTACACTGGTCCAGACCAGAGCAGAGAGGATTCATGGTTTTACACTGGTCCAGACCAGAGCAGAGAGGATTCATGGTTTTACACTGGTCCAGACCAGAGCAGAGAGGATTCATGGTTTTACACTGGTCCAGACCAGAGCAGAGAGGATTCATGGTGTGACCTGAAGTTGCTGATTATTACTATTGTTTGCTTTTTTGAGTGATACATTTTATTTTATTTTTTGCTGCTACTGGACACCTGAATTTCCTGCTGTTGTGGCCGATAATCAATTTTTACCAATATGACAATTTTTGGGTAATCAAGCAAGGTCCACATTGTTTGTTACAAGTATATACTGTAGGAGGATTTTTTTTGTTTACTTCCAGTTGGATCATCAAGACTATAGGTCCTCCCAACTGTCAATCATTTTGGTGATACTGTATGTGCTCGTCAAATAAGACCAGAGAGTTTTGTTCAGAGAGTGGAGAAGGCAGTTCTTCCCTAAAATTTGGGAAAATCCTCCAATAAACCATGTACTGATCTGAGAAAATAGATGTTGCATGACTGTGTAAATGTACATCCAGACCGGAACATGTTTTATATTTACTAAGAATTCTACAACATCTTGTGGGAATTTGCAAACTGAGGATGGCAAATGGGCAAAACAGACGGAGCACTTTCCCCGACAGACTGTTGACGTTTGCTGAAACAGACGAGAGCCAAGACACAATATCTATTTCCTTTTCTATTCCCATTTGTCTAGTTTGGTTATTTTAGTTTTTAATGTATCTTATTGAGTTAAGACTAAACATTGTGGCGTCATTGAGTGTCCAATAAAAGCACAACAGTAACTTTATTTAAATCAATGAGTGTCCAAATGAAAGGCCACAGACTGGTGCTAAATGCTCGGAAAGATTTTGCTAAAGACACATTTTCTGTGCCTTTAGGGACTGACTAATTCTAATCTAATTTGGGAACCTGCTGCATTTGTGGTCAAAATTCATATGCAGAATTTCAGACTAATGCAGCCGCTGAATTTTAGAAGTTAAACATATGGTATTTGCAGAACTCGAGTCGGCTGGATCACTTGTGTTTATGATCTTACACTTATCAATTATAGATATGTGGATTATAAAACAAATGGTGAATTCTGCAGATCAGATTTTGAGACTTAACATACAATAAACCAACAAAATCTAATACATCTCAGCCTATGACCAATAAATCAGTCAATCCCATTTGTTTTACTTAGTCACAAATCTTACAAAGGGTATATGTTAATAATACCTTTTAGACAATTCTGAGTCAATCCTTGAGGCTATATTTTAGTCCCTGAATCACAATATGGAAAACACATTTCTATCATTTCATTTTCAGAAAACTATTTCATAAAAAAAAGCAAAAGTTCAGACTGAAAGAAACTCTCTTTGTCCATAATCTACTCGGTTTACCAGGGCCCCTGAAATCAACCAATAACACACAGCAAGCATCGTGCCACAACCCTCCTCCTCCCCGTCACCACCTCAGCCATCATCTTCATTTCACTGCTTTACCACCACCAGGGTCTTGCTCCTGGGGGATTTCATCTCACAACCTCTTTTTGATTTACCGTTCTGTATTTCTGTTCATTTTATACATTTCATTTACACCAGCATACGTCAATAAATATGAATAAAGTATAAACATCACCCCTTGGTCTTTGAGTCAGACTGAGGTACCACTGTGTAAAAACCCAGCGCACCAACGACAGCTCCCTGCCCCACATCTTGAAAAACCACACTTGGACTAAATCCACTCCTTGCTCGCCTAAAAGAGGATTAACGCTCATACCAACTGTAATCTGACATCGTGAGAAAAAAGGCTTACATCGGTTTGAAAGCAATATACGGCAAGCAAACAAGAAAATATTTACAGATACAGGAGGAAATGGTTTGACTGGTGTTTTGTTGTGATAAAAGGCAACGACAGACGCAACAACCTGGCGCCCGGGGACAGGGTGATAACGGGTTTTGCGGAAGATTCTGGACCCACCTGGAGGTATGAACTCTGCGTATCCGCTGGAGTTGACCAGGATGTTTGTCTTGAACATGGAGTCGAAGTCATCATCTGCACTGAGGAAAGACAGAGGAGAGAGAACGCAACGGGTTAAAGGAGCACTGTGTAACTCCGATCACTCCTTTGTAAGCTATTTGCATAAAAAAGGCTGCTTGCTCTTTTTCCTAATTAAAATTCCAGACTTTTTTAAAACAGATTTTTTTTCCCAAGACCTTAAAACCAAAAAGACCATAACGACCCATTTCTGTGGACCACTAGGCTAGCTATGTGTCAATAGACCTCAGCAGTGACATCACAAACATGTGCCAGACGAGGCTAAGCTAGCGTTGATTGACTGTATTCAGGCTAATACCGAACGTGACCAGTTAGTACAATTATAGTTTATAGCCTACCGTCCTATTTCTCAGTTCACAAAGTCTTTGAGCACACTGTAAAATTCTACCATACATTTTTTTCTCCATACTTTTTTAAGACTTTCACACAAGATTCAAGACTTTTCAAGGTCTGGAAAGTGCTTCAAAATTCCATACTTATCAAAACGAGCGCAAGCACCCTGATAAAATGATAGTTTGTGAGAGCTTGCTTTTGCATGTACCTCAACATATAAAACCCAAACCAAGACAGTTTTCTGCAAGTTAAAAGTTAGATCAAAGTGCACTGAAAATCACCATCTGTTTGTAAATTAAGTCTGAGTTATGTTTATTATGAGCTGAACAAAAAAGAGAAATAAATCTGGCACAACTGCAATCAACTCAATAGAAAAGTTAATTAAAACCAAAAAGGAAAATGACAGCACAATAAGAGAATGATTTATTAAAAGTTGTTCCTTGCTGATACAGGAGGAGCAGAGAACAGCAATGATCCGGGACATTTATGGAAATGATTTCACATTTATGGACATTAGTCATCCCTCTCTGGCTCCTGTGTGTTTGTTTTTATTGCGTTTCCTGCGTTCGGACTGTTTCAAGATTCAAGATTAATCTATATATCTCCTTAGGTCCAGACATTTTAGTAAGAGCCACTAAAGTTCACCAGACTAGTCCAGGGGCCAACATCACCATCATCATTTTGACTGGAATCTTGCTGGTCTGAGCTTTCAAATGATCTATAACAGAGCTGAAGTTGGCTGAATGACAAATGTTTTCCATCTCACCAGCTACATTAGGACCATTAGCGGAAGTGACACAATCAAAAACCACGTCAGTACAGTATGTACTAATAAAGTCAACGACGTACTAGGCTTTAGAACGATGTACAGTGCCTTGCGAAAGTATTCGGTCCCCTTGAACCTTTCAACATTTCGCCACATTTCAGGCTTCAAACATAAAGATATTTAAAAAAATTTTTTTGTCAAGAATCAACAACAAGTGGGACACAATCGTGAAGTGGAACGAAATTTATTGGATAATTTAAACTCTTTTAAGAAATAAAAAACTGAAAAGTGGGGCGTGCAATATTATTCGGCCCCCTAACAGTGAAGTCCCCAAACCACACACACACAGAGACCACACTGTGTCTTATTCTCTCACTCTCAATCACAGCATGATTTTCTGTTCAACTCCAAAAAGTCTTCATCTCTGCAGGAATTAGAGTCACATGGAGCTCCCGGACCAGGCTGGAGCTGACGTGGACTCCCAGGTATTTATATGAATGTACCTGTGAGCTCTGAGCCATGGACGGAGAGCAGAGTGTGGTTTCTTAAATGTCCCAGGTCAAAAATGAGTTTGATTCTCTGATCTCTCTTGGTTTTTGGCGAATTGACAACTTTGTAAAGTCCTCCGAGACAAAAGTTGACATGATTGACCACTAATCAAAAATACATGGAATTGAATCGAGTTGAAAACTCATCTTGTCCTTGTGACGTAACGTCAAGATCTGCAAAATACTGTACTTTCTTCATAACTCCCACTGCTGCTCGAATCGGCCGCATAAATAAACAAAGAGGAATGAGATTTCTAAAGGCGTTTTCTTTCCTTTTTGAAGAGTTTTGAAAGACAGCTTGTTCTTTTTACATATTCGAGTTTGTCTACTGCATTTTAAAGATGTGTTTCAAAACAGAAATGGAAATCAAAAGTATGTCGCTTTGGTTTTTCAATCAGTCGATGTAAGAAACCTGGTAATTCTCCAACTCAGGTGTAAATAGTGTGAGACAAACTGGAGTTAATTAAAGACTTTCTGAATTGACTAAAGACATGCCCTGCCACTACACACTCCGGAGAAGACAGTGGAAAAGGCAGATTAAACTGTCCAGTCAATCCCAGACCCAAATCCCTGCATTCTTCTGCTGCAGCTCTCCTGAATCTATTCCTTAATAACATAATTAGTGGAGGAGTATGTAATTGACTGTATTAATTAGTCCATGTTTGGTTCTTGTTTAGTAAATAGTCCTTGGAAGGTCTGACGCTGCCGTAATTACTGCGTATGGACTTGTTTAAATCATGCACTGTAAATATTAACAGTAGCGACGCCTATTCTCTCGGTTGAATAGTGGCACCAACATGGCCAGATTCAAAATGGCCGCGGACAGCCCCTCCCACAAGAAAGTTAGTCAAAATACATTTGCGCACCAGCCCCATTCATTTAACGAGTGCCTTCAGAAGTCCACAGCGGCTAAACTAGACTGGTCCAAACAAAACTCCTCCCCTCAGCATCGACAGCATCTGGAACATAGCGTTGGGCCAAAAACGACTTTTGGATCATTCTGTATTTTCGAGAGGAAAGAAGGCGCCATACAAAAGCATAGGGTAATTTTGTATCCGGGTACACCCCCACCAGCAAGGAGTGGGATTACAGGCATGTCAGCGCACGTGCTCATGGACCTTTATGAACCAGGACCACGCTCCCATTGGTTTAAACATGGTACCGGTTCCAGAAAGGGCCATGTGGCTGAACTTCCAACAGTTCTGGAACCGGTTTGAGACCCCTGTGTTACAACATTGTTCCTCATTTAAAAAAGACCTGGAGTTGTTTTTAGGATCAATCCACGCTAATAGCAGTATCAACTTTAGACACAAACAGGTAAATCTGCCCCTTCTGTCTAAAAGCTCCCGTCTCAGTCATGTAAGTGTATGATGTCATTGAATCACTATGACATCATGCTAAGAGCTACTACCACTACCACTACCACTACTACCACTACTACCACCACCACCACCACTACCACCACTACTACTACTACTACCACTACCACTACCACTACCACTACTACTGCTACTGAGTCTGTGTGTTTTACCTGTTGTAGAGCAGGATGTCCGGCGTCCATATTTGGTCGTGTGAGAAGCGCAGGTTTTTGACGCCCGGGTGTTCCGTCTGGTTCCACTGGAGATAATGATCGTACCAACCCTAAAGTCAGAGCAAAGAGAGTGTTTATGACAAAGAGCTGTATGTACTGTAGAAAGACGGTCCTGGTTTGAGACATGTATATTTGGCCTTTCTTTAATCTATAATCAGACTTTTCAGAGTGAAAAAGAGAAGATCGTCGTCACTCTCTGTTTGAATTAATATAAATAATAATAATAACAAAAAAAATAAAAAAAATAACAATAATAATTAGGGCTGTCAAACGATTAAATTTTTTTAGTTGATTAATCGCATAGTAATGGTGAGTTAACTCACGATTAATCGCATGTTTAACATTCTATTTCAAATCCACTCCAATTGAAGTTAAATGAGATTATCAAATATAATTAGTATTGGGTAAGTTACTTTGAAAAAGTAATTAGTTATAGTTACTAGTTACTTCTTCCAAAAAGTAATTGACTTACTAACTGAGTTACATGTACTCCACTATAAAAGTAACTAGTTACCAGTAAAAGTAACTATTGCGTTACTTTTTCGTTTGTCTTGGTACCGAGCTTTAGCTGGCTGTAATTTAGGATAACTTCTAAGTAGATTAATTGTTGCAACAACCCCACCCTATTTTAGTATGATATGTTAGTTTAGTTCTGATGACTGCTGTCGTTGTGTCCTTGGGCAAGACACTTAACTCCACTTTGCCCAAAGCCCCCACTGAAAGATCAAGGCTATGCTCACACTCAGAGAGCAGCCGTCCTCCTGTGGACTCACCACCTGCAGAGGGTCAGTGAGGGGCTGGTGCTATGAGACTTGGGTGGCATCTCTGACTGCCACCCCCCTGACCCAGAAATGGATTAAAGGGTAGAAAATGGATGGATGGATGGATGTTAGTTTAGGGAACTGTCCTGCAGGCAAACAGGTATAAGACAGGCCAAGGTGCCATTTAATTAAATTGCATTTATTTTTATCCATTGATCAAACAAACACATTACAAAACTTGCAAATGAAAGAGACTATTTTAAAATAATTAGTTCCCAAAGACACACACGAGCAACACTCACGCCTGACAGACAAGAACCAGGGAAAATACAGTGCGCAGAGCGCTGAGTATGTGAACGGAGCAATCGCTTGCTGCTGTTATTATAATAGCTAGATCCATGCTTGCAGCCCGTGCAAAGCTTGCACTCACTCACAGCCGCTAACAACAACCAGAGCGGCCACGGAGGAGGCCATCTCACACGCAGCATTCTGAGTGATATTCTTATGGATAAATGGGCGGGTCATTCGGACATGCGTTAATGCGTTAAAAAAATAAAATAACGCGTTAATAAAAAATGTAATTAACGTGAGTTAACGCAATAATTTTGACAGCCCTAATAATAATACATATTGAGATAGTTGCGATCTTAGTCATACACATTTTACTTTTACGAAACTCTTTCTGTTCTCCCCAGTACACGCTATGGAAAGGCAGTTTGTAGTAAGCGCAATCCATAATTATATAAACTGAAATATCCCACTTTCAGCATTTTTTTATGGCTTTTCCCGGAAACAGAGAGACCTGAAAACGGTTCTTTCTTTTTCTCTACAGGCATCACAGACATTCACAAAAGATCCCGGTCTCTGGAGACTCGTACCATTCGCAGCCACATGTTGGAGGTCAGCACCTGGTTCTTCTCATCCTGAAAAATTAAATAAAAAACACGTCTGAATAAGAATAAACGACAAAAACCAGTGGATTTAAGCAGATTCATGCAAAGACCTGCTCTCAAAGAATTTTAATGACATATCATTAAAGGGTCAGGGGTCACAAATTCATATATTCAGAGTAAAAAGCCGCAAATGTACAATTTTTTTTAAATATATTTTGCTCAGAAAAGGACGTTTTTTATAGTTAGTGATTTTAGTTCTAGTATTATTTATTATTTAAATTATTATTATTAAGTATTATTTAAATTGTTAATCTAAAATAGTAGACAAATGTGTGCTGCAGCCTCTTTTTCATTTATTTTGTGTTGCGGTGTTTTATTCTATTTTGCATCTTGTTTATTGTTTGTATTGTTTTCTTTTGCATAATGTTTGTAAACAGTAGAAAAAGGGCGTGGCCACATTCTGCTGTTTACTTAAAAAAAACTAGAGTTGAAAATTAGGACCAAAAATCCATCTGGTTTTTCAGATGTTTTTTTGTTTTGTCCCTTTTTAATAAATAAACACATTATTGTATCTAACTGTCTTTGATTTCAGAACCTGTCACTCAGAATATTGTATCCCCTTGTAAATGTTTGTGTCTGGTTTCAATACAGGGCCTTTCTGAATGGAGTTTGCATGTTCTCCCTACGTCTGCATAGGTTTCTTCCGGGTGCTCCGGTTTCCCCGACCACTGTACAATAGGTCTGGGCTCCTGTACGCCAACCTCACTCCCATCTCTGTGTGGAGCCAGAGACAAACTCCCACAACCATGAAGCGCTTGGTGACTCTGGTCTCTGAAAGGCGCTATATAAATTAATATTACTTATTTACAATCATGAATTTAATTGAGACATTTAACCCTTGTATTATGTTGAAAAAAAATGACATTGATTATGTTGCGGGTCATTTTGACCCGTACTGTGTAAATGCACTCAAAATAGTCAAGAAAATAGGTTAAACCAATAACAACTTTATTTTAGGTTATATAAATATTTAGAAAAGTGACATACAATACATTTTTAATTCCAACGCTATATTTAAGAAATATTTAGTCTAATCCTCTTGTCCTCCTCTCGGGTCAAAATGACAATTCTTTCCTCCTGCCATGCTTTCTCCTTTATGTCAGAAAACACACTGTAGTTGAGGCCAGTTGCTGTCAATGTACGCGCTGTTATTCCCAAGACTGGTATGTACAGGAGTTGCCTGTTTTCGCCAGATTGTCGCTGTGTGTGGGGCAGCAACTCATATGCGACGGATATAATGAGTTGCCAGTCTGATGTACGCTAGGTATAAAGAGATGACATGAGAACAGTGACAAGGACAAGTGTGAGAAAGTTCCCTCTCTTCACACACCTGGCTCTGGGTCTCAGAGGCAATCAAAATAAAATGTCAAAGAGATTTTTGGATCTGAACAACTATTTACCCACATTAAAGCGTCTGGGTCAAAATGACCCGCAACATCATCTTTGTATACAAACTCTGCACAGACATTCCACTACACATCAAAGTCTCCAGGTTTTACACACCAGTTCATGACCCTAGATGAGGAAAAGTCACCAAATTTCAGCAAGAAAAATAAAGGATAACCAGTAGTTTGATCAACTCAAAAACTGAAATGGGTCAAATTGACCCTTAACATAATACAAGGGTTAAATCAAATATATACAGCCTCAGCAACAAAACAAAAGCTTCAAAAACTGGATTTATGAAAGTTAGATGTGAGCAGTTTTCTTTTCTTCAGAGTCCCAGAGAGAGAACCACTGCTGCTCGTTCTGCTTTTACTTTGCTCAAAATAAAGTCAGATTTTCAAAGACGTCGCGGCTTTGGAACATGACTGAGCACTTGTTAACGTAATTGCAAACTGAAGACAGAATCCATCAGCGGTTTGGAATTCCACCAATTTATTTTTTATCAAAGTCACAAAGAAAAGAGAAGGTTAAAAGTTACAGATCAGTCACTTCAAAAATGTCTTCTTTCGGCTGCGGAAAATTGGTCGAAGAAATCAAGAAATCCCTTTTTATACAACCTCAAGTTAACAAGCCTTTTTAGAACAACAGAAAATTGTATTGTTTTGTGGCTTTTTCTTCATAATTTGATCTGAATAATCCCAATAATAATGACCCAATAGAATATCTGGCAAAATTACTCATTTCAGACTCAATTTGTGGAATGAGACCCAGAAAACGCTGAGTACATTGTATCGTGTAGACAGGACCTCACAAGCAGGTGTGAAAGCCAGATCCCGTCAGATCCCAGAGGTCTTAGGCTGAGTTTACACGGAGACAATGTGGCAGTAAAACGGTATAGTTGGATGTCGGTTGCTACCAACCGTTCATACGAAGACTGTGTTCCAGGTGAAAACGTAAGTGTTCAGATCCAGCCTGCAGAGTGGGACAACTCAGATACGCTGCACAGCAGGGAGCTCTTTCACACCCGTGAGAGGGAAAAGGTATGAAATCCCCCTCTGCTCTGACCCCCACCTCCGCGCTGCTCCCCGCACGTAAATTTGGACATGCGCAGTAGCGAAGAACAAACATCAACAACAATGGCGGCGGTCACAGTAACTAGCTTCGTGGGCTTCCAGCGCGGCACAGAGGATAATTCTACTCCTTCGTTCGTCCAAACGAGACCATGCGAAGCTCCAGGTTCAGTTTCCATTTTCACAGCTGCTGTTAAAATGCAGAATGTTGTTGGTGCGTCCTGAGGGTCTGGCACAGGAAGTGAGTACACTGCCGAGAGGGGGGCTGGGCACGGGGCTGGGGGTCGTGTGAGTGTTGTAACGTTTCTCTGCCCACTACTGGCCGGGCGCTAGAACTACATCGTTTTTCAACCTCATGTGAACGCAGAGAAATTTGCATTAGGAGCCAGGTCGTTTCTGTTAATAGCCTGGAAACGTCTGCGCAGCGTCTCAGTATAAACAGGGCCTTAGAGGTCTCCTGAAGTGACGAGGGACCTCTGGGACCTCTGGGATCACCGGGTAACACACTGGGGCGGCTGCGGCTGTCAAACTGTCATTGTGCCCTTGTACCATTGTGGGGTTTTTTGTATAATTATTTTTTGTACATAAATAGATAAATGAAACAGAGCTGTGTATGAGCAGCACTCACCACGTCCATGATCTGCACCAGGCTGAGGGTGAAGACCACGGTGAGAGGGTGTGAGTCGTTTCCCACCGGACGCTCCATACGGTTGTAGTCCTTCAGCAGGTTCTTCAGGAGGCTCCTCTGGTGTGGGCCCTGCTCGGACACTGCACACAAGGTTCAAACACACCACAGCGGCAAATCAATCAAAGACATTCCTCGACACATGTTGGCACGGCGACGGTGCGACGCCCGCTCTTATGCACCAACTGTGGCACTGCCCAGAGATAAAAATGTTTTGGATCAATGTTTCTTCTACTTGTGCACATTGCTCAAACTTAACATCCAGCTTGTCCCAGTTGTAGCTTTATTGGGGTCAAAAGTTGGGGCTCAAAAACAGCTCAAAAACTCAATTAATTGGAAGGTACGTAAACCAAATTGTTTCTCACTTAAAAATTGTCAGGAAGAATCTCTAGAGTTTGTTTCCATGGAATAATGATTTCCGTAAAGAGCATCGTAATTTACTTGATTTAATTTTGCCTCTCCTAAAGAAAAATCCAGCTTGAAGTTATTTCTTTGTCATAGTTATTAGTCCAATTAGCTGAGATGCTCCGAGACGCTCCGGTTAAGTTTCTGAGATAATACTGCTGGGATTTAGGGCGATACAAGAATACATTGAATTGATGGCTTCACCTTTAAAGTAAGACACATATCTTGCACTTTGCTGCCATGTTCACCTTCCCCCATCCTACCCGTTATATTTTTGATTCGATAAAAATAAAAGAATCTCACATTAAAACTGATCAAACACCTGCTTTTTCACAAACGCTTTAGGCTCTTATTACTGATTAACCAGAACATTCTATAGTGGTTTTCAAGACTAGTGTTCGAATCAAAATGCATTTCATATCAGAATGTTTTGACAGTATTGAGAAATGGTTTGGAAATATAAACGCCAAGATACTGTAGATAGTTCTGTGGTTTCTTCAGTCTATAAAAAGGCATCGCTCCGTCCCACATTTTCAAATTAAAACATTGTCTTGTTAACATTGTCTTTTTAACATGAAGTTCACGAAGCGACTGATGAAATTAGATGCAATAAAGTCCAATGGCCCCGAGTCCATCAAAGGGTCAAGGTTAAGCACTCCAGCTGCACCGTGACGATATTAGCATTCAGAATCTGATGGAGACGGACGCTCCTGATAATGTGAGAGAGCAGCGGTAAACACAACACAATTAGAAGCAGTGCGACTCTTATCAGGACATAATTGGACCTAATGGATCTGGAATATGTTTAGTGTGAAGGCTCAAGGGCAACGGGCGCCGAAATGTGTTTACAGATTCAGAATCACATCTATGAGCTTTAGTTTGGTTTAGTTTACAAATGGAATGCCCCGAGAGATGTGCCATTTTGTTTTTAATGGGGTCCATAAGCACAAAACACACTGCAAAATACCTAGAAAGAATTTTAAACAAGAAAAAAGATAAGATAAGGTAAGATTGCTTTATTTATCTCACAGAGGAGAAATGTACATGTCACATTTGGCATGGATAGAGACACTCAGATTGTGCAAAGGAGGAAATGTGCAAACATGTTACATGCAGGATATATGAACAATAAAGTGACAATAATTATGTACAACAAAAGTGACAAGTGTCAATTGGAAACAGTGTCAATAGTAGAGCAGGTTTTCACACAGTGATCATTTAAAGTGACTTATTGTACAGTCTGACAGCGGTGGGGATAAAGGCCCTGCGGTAGCGCTCCTTCCTACACTGAGGGTGTCTCAGTCTTCCACTGAAGGAGCTCCTCAGCTCCTCCTCAGTCCTGTGCAGTGGGTGGGAGGTATTGTTCATGATGGAGGTGGCTTTGGCTAGCACCCTCCTGTCCCTCACCTCCTCCACAGAGTCCAGGGGCCTCCTGTCCCTCACCTCCTCCACAGAGTCCAGGGGCCTCCGGTCCCTCACCTCCTCCACAGAGTCCAGGGGCCTCCTGTCCCTCACCTCCTCCACAGAGTCCAGGGAGCCGCCCAGAGTGGAGCTGGCCCTCCTGACCAGCTTGTTCAGTCTGTTTCTGTCCCGCTCTGTGCTGCCCGGGGCCCAGCACACGGCAGCGTAGTAAATGGCAGAAGCTACCACAGAGTCATAAAAAGTCCTGAGCAGAGGCCTGCTCACTCCGAAGGACCTCAGCCTCCTCAGAAGGAAGAGGCGACTTTGGCCCTTCTTGTGCAGGGCTTTTGTATTATGGGACCAGTCCAGTTTATTGTTAATGTGAACACCCAGGTACTTGAAGCTGTCCGCCAGCTCAATGTCCTCCCCCTGGATGTTCAGCAGCGTGTGGGAAAGTGGTTTTCTCCTGAAGTCGATGACCATCTCCTTGGTCTTACTGGTGTTCAAGCACAAGTGGTTGCACTCACACCAGTCGACAAAGTCCTTGATAACCGACCGATATTCCAGTTCGTTCCCCTCAGACACACAGCCCACGATGGTGGAGTCGTCGGAGAACTTCTGCAGGTGACAGCTGTGTGTGTCGTGTGTGAAGTCTGAGGTGTAGATGGTGAAGAGAAACGGTGAGAGGACAGTGCCCTGAGGGGCCCCAGTGCTGCAGACTACCACCTCAGACTCACAGCTGCGCAGCTGCACGTACTGTGGTCGCTCTGAGAGGTAGTTGATGGTCCATGCAGTGAGGCTACTGTCCACTCCCGCGTCCTCCATCTTCCCCTGCAGCAGTGCCGGCCTGATGGTATTGAAAGCGCTGGAGAAGTCGAAAAACATGACCCTCACAGCGCTCCCGGCGGGCTCCAGGTGGGAGAGCGTCCGCTGCAGGAAGTAGATGACGGCGTCCTCTACTCCGATGTTGGGTCTGTAGGCGAACTGCAGCGGGTCCAGGGTGGGGCTGACCACGGAGCGGAGATGGGTGAGGATAGGAGCGCGCTCCATTGTCTTCATCAGGTGGGAGATCAGTGCGACTGGTCTGTAGTGAGCCGGTTCCTTGGCGTGTGCTGTTTTTGGGACCGGGATCACACAGGAGGTCTTCCACAGGACAGGGACCTTCTCCAGGCTGAGGCTCAGGTTGTACATGTAGCTGAGGTTGTACATGTATATATACAAAAAAATACACCAAGCCGCAAGAATACAACAGACAGAATGGCAGGACACAGACCTGTAAAATCTGCAAAGGACCCCACACATATCACCAGTCTAGATGTAATGTAATGTAATGTAATGTTTATTTTTATAGTGCATTTTACAGACCAAGGTCCCCCAAAGCGCTTTACAATGTTCAGAGTCAGATATTGTTCCAATCATTGATGACGGAAGCGAGTCCAGAACACACTGGACCATCAACTCCAACACCATCCATTCACTCTCTCATTTACATTCAGACCTACTGTGCATGTTTTTAGATGGCCGTTTTAACTGATTCAAGCAAATCATGGACATGCGACATCACTTGTCAACCAGTTACACACACACACACACACACACACACACAAAGAGACAAAATGTAAAGAAGCAAGTACTGCTTAATTATGACATGTTTCGGTGGTAGACTCCTGCCTTTCACCTCTGACGAGAACAGAAGTAAATACACAGATAGAGAGATAACTTTATTTGCAGACTCAAGGTTCAGATCCACAAAGACAACAGACACTAAAAACCTCTAAACTTTCAAGAGCCAGTCATACATGTAATGCACCGCGCTGCATAAAACATATATGCAGTATATACAGTATACTACTTCTACAACTACTACTTCTACTACTGCTACTTCTGCTACTACTGTTACTACTACTGTTACTACTACTGCTACTACTACTACTACTACTTCTACTACTACTACTGCTACTGCTGCTGCTACTACCCGTGACGGGCCTCACCTAACATCCAGTGAAGTGCGGTCAGATTAAGCACGTCAGTGGATCATAGAAAGACTAATACTTTGTCGCGTTATCAAGTGATTTGTGCTATTGTATTATTTAAATGTAGCTTTGCCTTATTTCATTTATTTCTAGCTTGAAATCGCAGATTTTTGTCATATTCTTCTCATATTTGGCAGAACGCTGTGAGTCGAGCCTCACTTGGAGACGTAAAAGCCACAGCTCACTGTGGAAGGAGCCCGTGCGCTGATATCAAATTGTTTTCTCTGTTTATCACTGTTTACAAAGTTTAAACATATTTAATTTACAATCAACATGTCTGAAGTCGAGGAGACGGCTCATAAAATGTGTTTTTGAATCAAATGCGCATGTGCAAGATGGCGGACGCATTTGTTTGGAGCCTTTTTTTGAACTGCACACTTTTTGGATTTATTTTTTAAACTAAGCTTTTATTACTGTTTTTATTTGTAACAACTGATGGATTAAGCAGATTTTAACAGGTTGTGCCACAACAGGATTACTGTCACTTTTAACTGGACTGTATATCAGCCTTTTAACAGTTACCGCGGTAACCAGCCTGCCCACATACGCCACCATGGACACCGCTGCTCCCCCCGAGAACTCATACAGACAAATCTACAAATCACAACTTGCTTCAATTCTTCCATCCAAACCGGTAAACGCAATGACCCCCGAGGAACTTCAACGCAGTGTTACACAACTATCCACAGAACTCATACATAAAGAGAAACTTCTGGAACATTTCATGGACATCTCATTCAAGCAGTCACAGCAAATATCCCTCTCCGTACTTAGACACTCACAGCTCGCTACCACACTCCACGACACTGCTCTTTGGGATCCCATCACCTGTCCTCACCCCTCATCATGCTCTACCCCGGTCCTCACCTCACGTTCCCCGGTTGCGGCTGTTCCTCCTGTCCCTCCCGGTGCTCTTCCCTCCTCTACGGTCCCGGAGCCTGCTGCCCATACCCAGAGCGGCGCGGAGCAGAGGCCTGGAGACCACAGAACGTCCACAGTGTCCTCACGTCGCAGGTTGGTGGAGGAGGCTGTGCGCAGACGCTCGGGGAGCTTCCCACGCTCTAAAACAGCGCGGGGCTCCCCGGGTGTCACGCAGGACCAACTGCGGGAAGCCCCGGGGGGATCTCTGTGCCCTAACGTGGCGCAGGATACCTCCGGGAGCGCTGTCCTTGCTGTGGGAGGGTCCGTGTGCTCTGACGCGGAGGGAATCCCCAGAGGCGCTGCACAGAGCAGGTCCTATGCTG